TGGAGGGCATAATATGTTTCATGAGACTGCCTGGAAACTTTGCAACATTGTAGGAAGCTAGGTTTGATCATTTTAAAGAGCAGCCAAGGGTATTATCTTTGGATACTATGGGACAATTTAAATTTGTGCTTATGTTTCTTTGCCAGAGACAAGGTTTGTGAACTTAGACTACCTGCAATTGCTTAGAGAATAAAGGTTTTTCCCAGAATATTTTATTCAATCATTAGCTATCTCCTAATCAAGTACCTAGTGAAAGATGGAGAAGTGAGTTAGTTTTGGTGAAAGTGACTGACCGAAACCAATGATACAGAAAAATTAACACATGCTTATTGTTTGCCAAACTGATCGACTTGTCTTTATCTCTGGGACCTTAGTTACCAAAAGCATGAAATTCTAAAAGAAAAGATACTGTTCAATTAGATTAAGTTTGTTTGGTTTTTTGGGGGGTTATTTTTGTTTGTTTTTCCCATCTACTCCAGAAAACAATCTGAGTCTGTGAAGGAACTGTGACTCAACCAAGTAGAACAAGTGAAAAAAAAAAGCAACCTCAGACTCGGAGAAAACATGTCTTCTTTCCCCCCTTCTATGTATAATCAATAATTCAGCTTTGAAAAGCAAACCTACCTTCTGTTTTCTGTAAAGTCAGTGCCCTCTATTCCATGCTTCCCCAACCCTGCTGAGCACAACACTCCCCCATTCCCTTCTCTCTTTTTTCTCCCTCTCATCAACACAAGTGCTCTTTCACATTCCTTCTTCTTCCACCCCATCTCCCTTTATTTCTGTTTCATAACTTCCCTTAATTCTCTCTTTATCAGTTCAGCACATTAGCTAGAATGTGGCCCTAATATATAACATCTTGTTTCAGGAAGGAGTTGATAGGGAAGCCTGGGACTTGATAACATGTTACCAAATCAATCCAGACTTCACTGAAAACAGTGTTGCCTTCAAGCCAAGGCCATAACACTATGGATGTGCAAGTGACTGTTTCTAAATATTAAGAAAAGAATTGGATGAAACTATCCAGTTGATAGATAGGAAAAATTTATTCATAAAGCAGAGAAAATATTGTAAAATCATTTTGTTCCAACTTTCTGATGTATTTTTCTTTTAATTTGATAAGCAGAATAAAAGAGGGATTTATCTAAAATCAGGAAAGGAACCATTCAGTTTCCCTTTTCTGCATCTCAGTTTATGTCATTCCAATACTTGATTGTATCTCCCCTCTCTGTAACATTACCACCTCAGAGGTCTCTGGAGATCTTCCTCAACAGGCAATATTAACCCACCCTCAGACCTCTCAGAAAGGTTTGATATGGTATATAGATGAATCAGCCAACCGATGCATTACTGGTACAGGGCAGGAGAGTCAAGAAAATACAACATTTTCCTATCTTGGTGGCACTATCTTTTCCTCTGTCATTATATTTATTCCTTTGCAAGACAGTGGGACGTTGGTCTTTAACAGAAAAAGAATCCCACGAGCCTTCAGGACAATTTGCATATGTGTGATTGAACATAGGACTATGCAATCACCTGAGGAACAAACTTTAATAGTTAACTCTTTAAAAAAAAACAAACAGGGGCAGCTAGGTGGTGCAGTGAATAGAGCACTGGCCCTGGATTCAGGAGGACTTGAGTTCAAATGCAGCCTCAGACACATAACACTTACTAGCTGTGTGACCCTGGGCAAGTCACTTAATCCCATTGCCTAACAAAAAAAAAAGATATCTTGGGGGGCAGCTAGGTGGTGCAGTGGATAGAGCACTGGCCTTGGAGTCAGGAGGACCTGAGTTCAAATCCGGCCTCAGACACTTGATGCTCACTGTGTAACCCTGGGCAAGTCACTTAACCCAATTGCCTAGTCCCTCCCCCCCCAAAAAAAACCAAACCAAAACAACAAAAAAAAAGATATTTACATTTTTACATGAACTTTATTTCTGAAAATAAATGCCCACTTGTATCATCTACCTACTCCTCTACTCAATAGGCCATCGAGTGAGAATGAAAGTGCTGTTAGACAAAACTAGCCAACACATTACCTGAGCATGACAATTCATGCAGTATTTCACACCTATTCCACACTCAACTCTTCAGAAAGAGAGAGGTACATTTTTCTCAACTATTCTTCTGGGCTGTCCTTGGTCATTAATAATTGCACAGCCCTCAGTTTCACTTTTTTTTGTTATTTCCATTAATATTGTTGTCATCTGGTTCTGTTTATTTCATTCTGCATCAATTTATGTCTTCAAGTGCTTCCCTAAATTCTTCATAGTTATCTTCTCTACAGTAATGTTCCATTATGTTTATATAGTACATTTTGTTTAGCCATTCCCCAAATAATGTGTATCTGTTTTGTTCCCACAAAAAGTATAAATATCTCTTTTTATAAAGTGACAATTCACAACAAATTCTACCCAAAATAGTAACTTTTATAGATCTTACCAGTACAAAGCCACTTAGTACCCAGAGGACTTTGGGAAAGTCATTTAGCCTTTTTGGATCCTACTTTTTACATATGCAAAATGAGGGAATTAAATGAAATGTTATCTCAAGATCCTTCTAATTCTAAATTTGCTGATCCTGGGTTTCACAGACCCATAGACTGAACTTTAAGGACTATCTAGTCTAACCCCTTTGTTTAACAGATGAGGGAACCCATCTAGAAAGGTCAAATAACTCATCAAGGCACCACAGCAGTTTAGCAGCAGAATTGGGATAGAACTGGAATCTCCTACTTCTCATTCCAAGGCTTTTTCTATCAGACCACACAGTACTTGCAGATTACCCAAATAAGTGTCCCAGATAATGGATTAGATGTGTGGCAATACTTACAGTTTCTCTATAACCTTTAATATTTTGCAAAATGCTTTCTATTCCTCACAGCAATTCCATGATAGGACATTGCTGTTTGTAGATGATGTCACTAGGGCACTGAGTGGTTAAGTGATTTGCCCAAGAATATGCAGCTGAAAGGTAGTAGAATCCAGGTGTTTTGACCCAGTAGTTCGATTTTCTTTCCACTTCACTCTGTTCTAGAAGCAGTTTTGCCTATAAGAAAAGTTTTCTGCTCTTGAGAAAAAAAATGGACCAGTAATCCGTATAGTTTAAATGCCCTTAAGTAGTTGTTTTTAAGTGTTTAGGGTTATGCATTAAAGAGTAGAATCATCTAAACATATTATCCTAGATTTAGAGCTGAAATAGATTACAGGTTATTTAGTGCAACCCTCTAATTTTTTTCAGATAAGGAAACTGAAGCATTGAGATTGACTCCATTAAATTTTGATAACTATTAATGTAGCTGGGGATTGTCTTTGGGAGCTGTTAAAAAGGTGTCTAATGTTGGTAGGAAGGTGGTACCTTCCACTTAAGAAGGCTGGATGGCATTTGAGTTTTCTCTCTCCAGACACCTTGGATTGAGAGAGACAAGTGACTCTCAGTTAATCCAAAGAGATGGACCTACCAGAGTTCATTTTAGCTTTTTGTGCTGGGCATTTCTTTTTATTTGATAGTCTTTTCCTTTCTGTCACAGACATATCTTGTAACATTTCTACACATGATAAAGGGTTTTCATTCATCTTAGAAGCAAAGTTTGCTTGGTAAATGATTCTTACTTGCATCTGACCAATGTCACCTCTCTCCATGTCTTAATAGATGATGTTAGGAACAGAAAAATTCAACATCTGGTAGTGAGTCTCAGAACTAAGTTAGACCAATTCTCAGGCCTTTACTCAAAGTCTAGTTTGGTAAAGCCAACTAGTTCTTGTGATCTCCTTGAATAACCTTTGAAAACTATCAGGTGAAAGTAAAGTAGGAAGGATATACCCAACCCACTGCCTGCACCACAAGTGACCATTAAATAGGCAGAAAGAGCCCTTGATTTGGAATACAAGGACCAAGGTTGACTTTGTTATTACTTGTATAACTGGCCAAGTTGTGCAATCTCTTTGGGCCTCTAGGCCTTTTGGGAGCATGGGCTGTGACATGCCCAAGGTCATGGAGTTAGTAAAGGTCAGAATCATCTCTTCTGACCTCAGATTGTCATCTTTCCACTATATCACAGCTGCTTCTTTTTGAATGAAAGTAGTGATTCTCTACTCCCCCCTTACCTTGTTTTTGTCTTTATCTAATTCTTTACATACATATTGTCTCTCCCTTTAGAATGTTAGACCTTTGAGGGCAGGGACAGTTTCGCTTTTCTGTTTATATTCCTCAGTAACTGGCAAAATTATTTTGTTGATTGATTGCCTGGAGATCTAATTTGATAACTTTTAGTTGTCATACCTATTGTGTTTATAATTGTTTAAAAGTTAGTTTGCCCCTGGCACTCATCAGATACTTACCAAATATAAATGGATGATGACAGGTTTTGAATATTTGTTTTCAGACTGGAAATCTGACAAATAATAGCCTAGTTTCTTTCTGTAGTTTTTGTCCTGAGAATGAAGGAACTTTAGGAAAATGGTAGATAGCTCTCTCAGGTGACCCCTTCAGTGGCCTGAGAAAGTTGATGTTATTTTCACAGGAGGCTCATTCGGTCCCAAGAGCATGCATATCCAACTCCTTGGCAGAATCTGGTTCACTAAGGACAGCAGTTAAAAGTACACAGAGGCATGCATATATACACACAACATACATTTACGTTGAATTCTGCACCACACAAGACTGTAAATAAACTGCAATATTTGTAACACAGCACACTAGTCTTAAATGTTTTACAGTACAAAAAAATTTACATCATGATCTCCATAGCCCTTAATTCAATTGGTTACATTATCTGGTTTGAGGTAAGTGAAATTTCCCTTGAAGATGTTGTTGAGAAGAAACAAGGTGACGTCTTTTCAGGAAATCACATTGGACCAAACACTCAAAATGACTTGGTCAAATTGCCCAGTAGGTCTATGGGGGTTGGGGGGAGGGGCAATGTGGAAAGACTTGTACGTTTCAGGTTTGCTGTTTAGTCAATACATGTCATGGAAGTGCCTTTTGGTTTTGTGTTCCAGGAATTCTGTATCGCAAGTCCTGTGCATCGTCTGCTGCCTGTCTCATTGCCTCAGCTGGATACCAATCCTTCTGCTCCCCAGGGAAATTGAACTCAGTCTGTATCAGCTGCTGTAAATCCTCACTCTGCAATGGGCCCCGGCCCAAGAAAAGGGGCAGCTCAGCTGCAATGCCAAGGCCAGGGCTGCCCACCACCATTCTTCTCTTGAAACTGGCCTTCTTCTCAGTGCACTGCTGAGATAGAAGGAGGCTCCCCTCCCCACCCCCCCCCTTGTTTGTTTGGCCCTTTGTCTTCCTTCAACCCTCTTGGTTATCTTCTGAAAATGTTTATATAGCAGGACCTTGTTGTTCTTTTTTTCTCTTTGCTCCCTAACGAAAGAGCTCAGTGTTAGAGAGAGAGAGAGAGAGAGAGAGAGAGAGAGAGAGAGAGAGAGAGAGAGAGAGAGAGAGAGAGAATCCCAGAAAGAAACATTTTTGCAACCTATGACTGAATTTTCAATGTGCACTTAAAAGTGGGTGGGAGATAAGAGATGAGGAATTGGAAATTGTATGTTCCCTTTGTGTTACCAGAAACCAGGTCTACTTTTTCAAAATCAGCACTTAATGACATTAAGGTGGATAACTTTACTTTAAGTCTCCCAACTTTTTTTCCATAGCGTTTTTGTTTTGTTTTGTTCTGAGGGGTTGTGGGGGTGGGAGAGGGTCACTCAATAATGACTGCCTTATTTGGAATTCATGCTTCATTTTCCCTCAGGTTGTTCTCTGCCCCTAGATGGGGCTCTGGAGCAACCTCCACTGGTTTGCTTTCTGAGTTGGGCTCTAGTGATTCAAGACTCAATTGCTGAGGCCTAGAGTCAGGCTCGGCCTCACTCTGAAAAGTTTTTAAGAAAGCCTTGTTAGTTCTCCTTGCAGAAGCATTTCGCAATGATGAAATGAAGATCATTGGGCGGGAAGAGCGGCCACTACTGGTTGTGGAATTCAAATGGGCCCGAAGCAGTTTCTCTTTGTTGGCATGCTCAAGATTCAGGCGACAGCAGAGAACTTGCTTGAACACCTTGCGGAACTGCCGAGATGAGATGGTGTATAGGAGCGGGTTGATGACGGAACTGAGGTAAAAGAAGGTATTGGCAAAGGGAAGGAGAATCATATATGCCCTGAAATAGGAGCGAGTCCAGTCCTGCTTTGGTTTTGCTGCAGCCATCAGCCTTCGAATCTGGTTTGGCATCCAGCATACTGCTAGAGTCACAACAATCAGTCCTGAGTGTGTAAAGGGGAAGAAAGAAAGAGAGAAAGAGAGAGAAACAGCATGTGAAAAAAATCATAAAATATTTAGTTTCTCAGTTCTGCACTTACCAGCTAGGAAATGGTACCAATTTTTCAATGTTTTGTTTGGCATATTTTTCTGCCACTAGCCCTCCCCCCAAAAAAAAAATTAACACTATTTCAAGGCTACTGTAGTTGGCTATATTAAAAAAAAACATTAAATGTATAGATGGGGCTTATTTATACCTGTTGATGTCTATTCATTTTAAAATGGTTTCATTGATATTTGTATCCTTGGAAAACATTTTATGTGGTCTATGAATTTGTTTGTTCTTGTTTTCCTTTTTCTTCCTTTTGAAAATATAGCCATATTAGATTTGGCAATGTCTGTAAAAGACTAGACTTTGTATTTTACAAGATGTAGAGTTGGCATTATTTTTGGCAATCTTCCTCTTAGAGAGAATATTTTTAAGTCGAATGGAAGTGTATATAAGAATATATACCCTTTTGATGGGAATGGACATATACTCAATTATGTTGGATTCTTATTAAATTCAAGTAGAATCAGATTTTTGAATGGCTTATGTCACTAAGAACTCCAAATGCCATTTAGTGCTCAATACTCGCCATCCTCATGGTTGGCATTTTATGGCACATTTTGTGTTTTCACAGCACTTTCCCATTCATTATCTCCCTCTCCCTAGAAGAGGATTTGTTTTAATGGCTAACCCTAAAATCTGTATAACTTGGCTTGAGTCCTTCATAGGTCTTTAACCATGATTCCTCCCTCTCTGTTCTATTATCTAGAAAAATAATGGACTCCCCAGGAGGAGAGAGTATTCATGCAACTATTTATAAATTATGATTATAAAGCACCCTCTGGTATAATCAAAAGCTGTATTTACATCTATACATTCACATATACTCTCAGGGCCCTTACATATATGACCATTGTTAGTTATGCTACTCTGATGGAGCTTGAGATGCGATTTATAATATACTTAACAACAAACGTCTTGACTGCTTGTCAAGTATTGAAGGGGAAAGCTGAAGGCCACTTATCTGCATTAAGGTCCTTTCTGCCTCTGAGGAGACATTTAGCCATAAGGAGAAGAATCCACATTGTTATAGTACTTCAAGGTTTTCCAAATGCTTTCCTCACATTATCACATAGCTAGTTCAGGAGCAAAGACCTGAACCTAGAACTCCTAACTCTCCTCTGTACCATGCTGCCCCCTCATGAAATGATAATGGAGTCCTAGAGGCAGCTCCCATTTGAAGAGAAGCATTTCATAGAAGTGTTTCATTTGATTTTTCAAAAAACTTCTTTCTGCTGTTTTGCTTCTTTGCATTTGGATAACACAACAAAAGGCAAGATTTCTTATTGCTTTCAGACGTACCAATCCACTAACAAGCCATAGGGAAACAATTGCTGCCCATGGTCTCTTCCTGTTTGAGATCAAAAATGAATATTTTCTACAATGAAAACTGCTCCAGGAAAAGTGAACATATTTATGAAAGCCAGAAATGGCAGTCCCACTTGGGTTTATCTTGGCCTCTCTCTGCTCGGTGTGCCTTGGGTGGGTTCTCAATGGTGATTCTGAAATAGCACTCCTCACCCAACAGCCAGTCTTTAGAGAATAAGTGAATTCAGTCAGGAAAAAAACGTGAGTCAATGATGACTTTATTTCATAGGTTGCCTGATCATTTTGTGACCATTTTAATTTTTAACAGTTTCTGATGTCAAGATTCATTTCCATTGAGGTGGTACCAGTGGATGGAGCATCAGGCTTGGACTTAGGAAGATCTGAGTTCAAATCTAGCCTCAGACACTTACTAGATATGTGACCCTGGGCAAGTCACTTAACTTCTTTTTACCATTAGTTTTGTCACCTGTAAAATGGGGATGATAATAGCACCTACCTCTCAGGACTGCTGTGAGAATTAAATAAGATAATAATTGTCAAGTGTTAGGCAGAGTGGCTGACACACAGTAAGTGCTATGTAAGTGTTAGCTATTATTATAATTTCTTCTCTACATGAGAAGTGCCCCCCAAAATACTCAATAATCCTAAATATAAAACCAGGAAACTTAATTAAACCATAATGATATGATTTAAAGAAAGAGAATAATGCATAGGCTGAATTATCTAATTACAGATAATGGACTAAAAAAATCACTTTTTTCTGACTGGGGAGAAAGGGTGTATTGCTTACTTAGGAAATAGAAGGCATATAACCACTTTGAGAAGCACTGGAATTTCATGTATTCTGTTTATCTTCCAGTTTCTATAAAGTTGCTGTTTCTAGCTCAGCATCACTACCTGAAAGATTCAGCTTATTAATTGTGAAGAAGACAGGAGGTTTGTCTTCTTGAAATAGAAGGTACATTCCTTGAAAAAGTAGGTTATTTTCCTCCAGCCTTGAATTTCAGGGCCCGTGCACAACCATCTTCATCTAACGACTGATTTCCCGGAATATAAAAAATTGAATACATGGTTTTAGTGTGTTTCACTACATTGTGGGTAGTTGTACAATCCAGGAAATGGAAATCCAAGGGGGAAAAAATGAGAGCAGCTATGAGTTACACACAACACAACATTTTAAAGCTAAGGAAAAAGAGCTGAAATTAGTAGAGGAAAACATAGTTGTGGGGTATTTTCAGAGAATGAAGGTTATTTTATTTCAGTATTAACTACTACTTTTTGTTTTCTTGGGCTTTTTTACAAGCCCCTTTTTTGAATGGGCATGGCATTGTCCTTGATTGGTGATCACTCTACCATCAAAGACCAGTTTTTAGGATGGGCTTCTAGCATTTGGGTTTCCTCCCTTTGGACTACTTCCAAGCTCAAACCTCCACCACCATCATCACACCCTTAACCTTGGCCATACACACAAACATAATACATTAGTTATACATCAAAGGACATTATCAAAAAAGACCTTGGGGTCAGTCACCTAACCTCTTGTACTCTCTGTCTCTTCCTCTCTAAAAGGAAGAGATTGGATGACCTCTAACATCCTTTCTAGCTCTCAATCCTATGATCCTCTGAGCAGGAAGACCTAAAAGAAGCTCCTTCCATAGTCTAAAGATTTCCACCTCCCATTCTTGTAGACCATGACTTTACTCCTTAGGATTTGGCATTAAGAGAATAAGTTTATCCTATATTTTCATATGGAGATATATTATGTGACTCCAGATCTGAGGACAAAACACATAAGCACAAGATTTGGGTTGTGTTATTTTGTATTCTTGTGAATCCCTAGCTATGTCAAAAGAACCAGTTGGCAAAGATGTAAATTAGTAACTTCACTTGTATTTTCAAAAGTGATTTTTCTTCAAGGAAAGCTAAGTATCAAGTATACAAGTGTAGTCCATGAAAAACATGAGACATGTGCCCTTGGGCCATGTGATGAAGGTTAGTGTTTCAGGGAGAAACTTAGCCCCCTTTATGAAGAATTTGTCATTTTTATAAAGACAAGTAATTGCTCAGTTTTGTGCACTGAAACAATAGGCATTATTTTCTCTGCCAAGCATTTTTATGAATGAGTATCATGGTCACAGCCCAATTCTTAGCTACTGTGCAGCTAGCTCCCAGGCAAAGCTGTATAGTCTTGTTCATGCTTTAATATAGCATATTAAAGATTTTGGTAAATTTGTGTTGAAATGCAATCAATTTGGACTGTATATTACCTTTGGAAAATCTATAAAGTGTTGGTCTGTGTTACGTAATGTGTAAAATACACTAAACTTTAGGGTGAACCTGAATGAAGATCAGAGAGCCAAACTAACTTATGGAAAACAGGTAAACTATTTGAACATAATCATCGATAAATATGTATTGTATTCCAAACAACCTTGTACTCTGAGTTCAGAAATACCTTTGCCTCTTAGCTGTTTTTCTGCATTAACTACTTTCATTTTTTCATCCTTTATCAGCACACTAAAATGATAAGGGCTATTAGAGGATAAGACAGATTTCCTCTCAATGGAATAATGTTTAAAAAACAGAAGTAATGCAGATGTCCAACAACCTACTTCAATGAAGCTTGAAATTTCGACAACGTTAGAAT